TTTGTCCCCTGCGTCTGCCCGGCGAGGGCTCAGGCCCCCTCCTTCCCGGCCTGCTGGGGCCCGGAGCGCTCGCCCGCTCGGCGGAAAGCTGCTCGCCGCTTTGGGTGGGCAGAGCGTTGCGGTGCAGGTATGTTCCTTATTATGCGTTCTGGTGTCCTCTCTTTTGGCATCTCGTTTTTGTGGGGACCTGTATTTGAATACCACAGGACAGTTTTGTAGTATGTGTTTTCCCAGTGCTTTCCGTCATGAAAACTGAGTGAGAGTATACGGCTCCTTTTAATACCTATGATCCTTTTTAATTGCACTTTTTGTAGACCTACTTTTGCATGTTTCCTACTGCTGGTGCGTTTCATGATTTTCTTCTCTTTCTAATTTATTTTTTAAACGTAATTTAATGATTGGCTACTCCTGCATTTCGTTTTTCTAAAGCACTCTCAGTCCCTGGAACTTCGGCTCCTTCTTTCCCCAAGCTCTTTGAGGATGCACGATGGCTTGCTGCGCTTCCAACTTCGGTGCCCTTGTTCTGGGGTCGTGTGAAGACTCTTGAGCTTCTGAAGGCATGCTTTTGTTGAACAAAGTGGCACTTTAGTGCCAGATAAAGACCCTCAAGGAGGATAAAGGGAGAGAATTCTGAAATCAGCAGGAGAGAGATCCCTTTTTTGGGAAACAGGAACAAGTTTTACACGTTTAGTTCCTATGAGTTAGTGCTTTTTTTTTGCATATTTGAGGGACTCCTTCCAAGCAGTAGTGTAGGTGTGAGGTTTATCTTCTATTTAGACATTCAGTTGAAGATAAAACTGTGTTTGCATCTTTCTGTACTTCAGCTATCTTTAATAATCTTATAATTAAAACCATTTATTCTGCTGTAGTGTTGTGAGTATTAAGATAACACTGTTACAATACTTGATGAAAGCTGAGTGACGCTAGAATGATATTATGCAATGATTGGAAAACTAATAACAAAAAGTTAAGTAATGTCACATAATACCATATTTTGTATTGCCTTTTTCTATTTAAATGGTCAAGTTATTGTGTGTACCTTCATTATTGATGTATTTCTCACTTATCTCTTAGGTTTACAAAAGATACTGCCAGGTTCAAGGATGAATTAGATATTATGAAGTTCATTTGCAAAGATTTTTGGACAACTGTATTCAAAAAACAAATAGATAACCTAAGGACTAATCATCAGGTACTAATGCTGTAGAACGAGATTTAACTTAGAAAATCAGTAACTGTTTTCAGTTGCTAGTGCATTTTTTTGCTTGTCTTGGTCTAGAATTAATAATTTGATCAGAAACCCAAAATATTCTTTATTTAGATGTTCTGTCTAAAAAGCAGATTTTTAAGGTTCATGTTAGCATGTAGTTTCAGAGTACCATTTAGTAATTGCTTGTGATGTCTTTATTGCCACCCTGTTTGAAAAAAAAATGCTTTGAATTTTATATGTGCTGTTGTAAAGTTGCAAACTGACAGGTCAGTAGCAGTTACAGTTGATTAACACTTAAACAGAAACTTTTTTATCTACGTCCCAATAAATTTTAGTAGAAAGCTAGTGTGAGAAAGTGATATTGCTGTCTTAACATATATTCAGATAGAATGGTTGCCTTGAATTAATTTTTTATTTTGAGGACTATTAACAGTTGAAACAGTTGCACTCTACTGAACATACTTGTATATGAAACAGCTGGAAAACTTCCCAAAACGTGCATGTTGGTGACATTGCATTGTATTTACGTCCTTTACTATATCAACAGACATAGTTCTGGAAGATCAAAATACTTTAAGGAGCCATTTTACTAGACTAAAAAATCCTTCTCATTTTGAGTAACTTGATTTTCTTATGGCCATTTTCCTGTTGTATCAAAGTAGGGACAAGAGAACTTGTACAAGGATTCTTCACTGTGAGGGCGGTGAGGCACTGGTTGCCCAGAGAAGCTGTGGATGCCCCCTCCCTGGAAGTGTTCAAGGCCAGGTTGGATGGGGCTTTGGGCAACCTGGTCTAGTGGAGGGTGTCCCTGCCCATGGCAGGGGGGTTGGAACTAGGTGATCTTTCAGGTCCCTTCCAACCCAAACCATTCCATGATTCTATGATTGTGCCAAGTAGGTTTTGTTTTTCAGTGAGCTGTTTATCAAGCAATAACTTTAATGAATAATAATTACCTTAGAAATATATTTTTTTTTAATTCAAAGAAAGCTGCAATATTAAGCTTAGGTATCAGTTGTATATGCAACCTTAATTTCATTTTAAGGGTTAGAGAGTTTCAAAGTAGCACAGTCATTATCAAAGAAATTAAAATTACTGTGTTTATACTTAATATATTAAAATACATATTGTGGCACAAAATGGTAATGTAGTAAACACTAGACTTTTAATTTGATCATCTGCTGGGTGTTGTTGCCTGTATCTCTATTAAAGAAGACAATTCTCACTGAATTGTAGAATAAGAATACCAAATTAAGATTTGAATGTAAAAATCAGCATGTATTTGATATATTAATGAAGACTATCTAATATGGAGCTATTGATTCAGAGCACTGGAAGGACTCTTCCAAGAAGAATATAAATAAACTTTTTCTAGAATTTACTGATTATATTATCATCTAGGTGTTTTGTTGTAAATTCACAATTAAGTATCTTTTCGTTTTTACGTTTCAATGTAAGTAAACAATACAGTTTAAACTTAAATCATATATGCCTTAATCTAAATTTTCCTTTTTCAACCTGAGAACATTGTATTGTACAAATCAAATGCCTTCACATAAAGTGTTGATTACATGTTACTAGATACTCTACTAAAAACTACTTTTTTTTTTTTTTTTAACAGGGTATTTATGTCCTTCAAGATAACAAATTTCGTCTCTTGACACAAATGTCTGCGGGAAAGCAGTATTTAGAACATGCACCAAAGGTACGCTTCATTTTTATCCTTGAGATCTACCAGTTTGATTTGAATTATCTTGATCTATTAATAGTAATTTTAAATTCTGTAATTGAGTGGACACAGACTTTCTAAAAGGGCAGCTAACATTTAGTCTCCAAAACCTGCTGGTTTGGTTTTTTTTTTTAAATGCGCCTTTTTTCAGATCAGTGGATGTGATTTACGGTTCAAGAGAAATTGTTCTGAAACTTGCTGTTGTCATGTTTGACTTACTTGATGGTAGGAGCTGGTCTGTCACTGCCACTATCGCACAAATTCTTTCTTTCTCTTTGGAAAGAACGTGCTCTCAGGAGCTTTTTTTAAAATTTGCAAAACATATTTGGAAGATGCTATTTGTTACCTAGAACAAGCTTCTGAGATTATATGAACATTCAGAAAGATATTCCACCAGTTAAAAATAGTTTTAAGTGTAGATGCTGAGTTAGAGTAATACTTTAGGTAAGTAGAATCAGTAAAAAGTAAAGCACTTTGGTTCAGGTGGATGTAAGAAATGGGGCATTCAGTTCCATTTTATGATTTCTTAATACTTGATCTTCTTAGTCATCACAGTTGCAGACTGCTATCCTTGGGAATTTTTCTTTGGTGTTTGATGAGATATTTCTTCTGTTTTGCAGCGTATATTCTGAATATCTGCACGCAGCTTTAGCACTTGTATTCTAAGATGTGGCCTGTGCAAGAATGCTATCTTGGACTGTTTCTCTTTAGTTGACTTTAATACTGGTTGCTAATTTCAGCCAAGTCTTGGGAATAGTTTTTTTTAAGGGCATTAAGTTCCTACAGGCTTAATGAAAAAAGGTAGAAACAAGTGACTGAAGATAGTGCCTCTAACAAGAGAAATCTGTATTGTGAGCTCTGGTGTAGCAAATATCAGAGCTTCTGTCTGTTAGACACATGACAAGGTCTCTCCAGCCTGGTAACAAAACCTCCATAGTTTTATATTGTCCAAGTGTTAAATCTTGCTCTTGAGTACTTAGTTTCAATCTCTAGCAACAAGCTTCACCCTTGACACTTATTTAAAGTGCAACTTTATATTTAGTATTTAGCATTTACCTGTGGACTAATCAGAGGAGGCCTATCGAATTTGGGAATAAAGAGTATTGTAACAGCTGAAGTTTCATCAATGCCTGCATGTAAGTAGTCCTCAGAGTATTCAGTTGTTAGCTCACTTGGTAACTTTCCTTACTGAGTTCATCACTGTGTATGCATTTATCAAGGTGGGATTAGTTTGAAGCTGCTGGGCCATAGGGGTCAGTATGAATTTCAGGATATGGCTTGTCATTAAATGCTTTAGTGCTTAGAAAATACTGACAGAGGGTGAACCTCCATGATATTGAGTGGGAAGTAAAACTAAAAAGTTGTATTTACGTTTGGAAACATCATATGAATAAGGATGTATGTCCAGAAGGCTATTTGAAGAAGTGAAGATAAAAACAGCTAGATACATGCTTTTTCTCTACAGAAGTCATCAAGAAAGTTAGTCAGTGAAGTCCCTTGTAACTACCCAAGCTGCTTAAGGTGGATTAAAAATTTCCACAGACTTTGCACAAACTTTAAATTTAGCTGACAAAACTGTTGTGATGGATCAACTTAAAAAAAAAAAAGAAAAAGCTGTGCAGTTGGAGTTGAATTTAAATCCTAAATTTAAATAATGTCTAGATTGTTCACAACTGAACCATAAGATTGAAATGTTCCATACTATTTTTTTAATAAAATTATTACAAGAAAATAATTGTTTGGAAAAATAACTAGTGGTGATACTTTGATCTGACTTCGTTTTTTCTTTGCAGGTAAATTTCAAGTGATGATACAGAAGATGTAGAGCACATTCAAATCTGGGTATCTACCTTAAAAATCCTTTGTGTGTGGATGCAGCATCTTGGTTCAGCTTTGTACATAACTTGTAAATTATAGCAGTGCGCAGCACAATTCCAAAATATATAATAAATGTTCATCAAAATAACTTAATGCTATCCTTGTATCTTGGTAGGAAAGTTATTCTATACCAAGGTATTAATGTCCATGTGGTAAAAACTGCCTGTTCAAAAGTTTTCAACAAGATTTAAATTATCAAACCAGCACATATGGAAGACCAGGGACACCTTTTGAGAACAGAGTAAAAGCCTGAGCAAGGCTAAATTAGAATAAGTAACTAATGTTTCTTCTGTCACCTAGCATGCCCCAATGTTGCCTTTCTTTATTCACTCTGAACTGTGAGGCACCAGTTGCTTTTCTCTTATTCTGAGGAAGCCATTATCACGTGAACCTAGTGTCTTCATTAAAGGTGTTAAGTTGGAGGTTTAGTTCCTTCGTAGGAATAATATGGACCAGTAGAAAAAAGACCTTATTTCTACATAGTTAAACAGTACCTCCTACATCCCTAAAATTAGCAGCTGTTTTTTTGGTGCGAGAATAATTTTACAGCTAAAGTCATCTACTACTGGCCAAAGAACGAAATTTGTTTTAGCTTGTTCATAAATTCAATATTAACATAATTGTTTTTAATTGCTAGCTACAACTCACTTCTGTAATGAGTGTGTATATTGGGTTTGTGTAGCAAGGTTTTGGTAGCGGGGGGTTCCAGGGGTGGCTTCTGTGAGAAGCTGCTAGAAGCTTCCCCCATGTCTGACAGAGCCAACACCAGCCGGCTCCAAGACGGACCCACTGCTGGCCAAGGCTGAGCCCATCAGTGATGGTGGTAGTGCCTCTGGGATAACAGAGTGAAGAAGGGGAAAAAAACAACTGGGCAACAAACTGCAGCCAGAGAGAGGAGTGAGATGTGAGAGGAACAGTTCTGCAGACACCCAGGTCAGGGAAGAAGGAGGAAGAGGAGGAGGTGCTCCAGGCGCCAGAGCAGAGATTCCCCTGCAGCCCCTGGAGAAAGACCATGGTGAAGCAGGCTGTCCCCCTGCAGGCCATGGAGGTTGATGGTGGAGCAGAGATTCCACCTGCAGCCCGTGGAGGACCCCATGCTGGAGCAGGTGGATGCCCGAAGAAGGCTGTGACCCCATGGGAAGCCCACGCTGGAGCAAGCTCCTGGCAGGACCTGTGGCCTCATGGAGAGAGGAGCCCACGCTGGAGCAGGTTTGCTGGCAGGACTTGTGACCCTGTGGAAGGGACCCACACTGGAGCAATTAGTGAACAAATGCAGCCTGTGGGAAGGACTCATGGAGAAGTTCATGGAGGACTGTCTCCCGTGGGAAGAAACCCATGCTGGAGCGGGGGAAGAGTGTGAGGAGTCCTCCCTCTGAGGAGGAAGGAGCGGTAGAGACAACATGCGATCAACTGACCACAACCCCCATTCCACTGTCCCTCTGTGCCACCAGGAGGGAGGAGGTGGAGAAAATCAGGAGTGAAGTTGAGCCTGGGAAGAAGGGGGGGCTGAGGGGAGGTTTTTAAGATTTGGTTTTCTTTCTCATGACTAGACTCTGATTTGGTTGGTAATAAATTAATTTCCCCATGTTGAGTCTGGTTTGTAATTGCTGAGTGATCTCTCCCTGTCCTTATCTTGACCCTTTTGTTATATTTTCTCTCCCCTGTCCAGCTGAGGAGGGGAGTGATAGAGCAGTTTTGGTGGGCACCTGGCCTCCAGCCAGGATTGACCCGCCACAGTGTGTGCAGGAAGATGATTAGGCCTCCAAGAAGCTGTAAAGACATCACCAAGACTCTTGAGGACGTTGGGGTTTGCTAGATTCTACAAGATTTGCATAACAATACATATCTTGCTGTAGGTAAGCATGAAAACATCTTGTCAAAACTTTTAATGATTTTTGCTGTCAGACTCTTCTTTTGGGAGGTTCAGGCCTTAGACTTTCAAATGAATCACAGTAGAACCTTACCATGTTCATTCAGAAATGTGAGAATGCCTTGTGATAGTGACTCTGTTTCTACTTTGAGACCAGTAAATAACTGACTAGAAAAGCTAATGTGTTAAACTAGCATCTGATTGTTATAACTACCTTCTGCATTCGGAGAAGTGCACGTTGTCCAGTTGCATGGTGAGCAAAAGCAGTGGAAGCCGTTCTTCCCTAAGCTCTAAGGAAAGTCTGAAGTTTGTAATGGATCAAGCCTTTTCTAGGTAGCTGTTACAAGCTATGGATTATAAATGGGATAACCAGGGGGTTATTATACTGAAGATGTGACCAAATTCTCATCTTTTCAGGCAGTTCAGATTAGTTGTAGCTGAGTAACTTGACAGCTCTAGGAAGCATCTAGAGCAGAACTTGACCTAGCAGCACGCTGTCCACTGTGTATAGAACTAGCAAAGATGAAGGTAACTACAGTAGTGGTACTTGGCAGGGACCAGCTGTTGGACTGACTGAAAACACTTGGCTCTTAACACTGGTAGTTTATAGGAAGGCTGTGGTTGTTGTCCACCTTTATCACTCAGATTTGCTTGAAATTGTAAGGCTAAACTAACTAGTATTCTTGCTGAGTGCATTTCATGGGTTCTTCACTTGAGACTCATCCTGCTTTTAACATGCTGAAAACCTTACTAAAACCACTAGGAACAACTCACACTGTATGTTTAAGTTAGTTGGACGTTTCAATGTTCCATTTTAGGTACCGGCAGTGTGGTAGACATTCAGTATCAATGTACAGAATCATTTTGTTACTTGCATCACCAGCATTAAAACTCCAGTAGTTATTGTAATTCACTTTGATTTTTCACTTGACAGATGCTAAAGTGCCAGTCATTCCAAGACACATCAGAAGCTTATGAATAACTGTGCTTAATAATGTATTTTTTTTAAATACTTGAGGGACTTGTGTATCAATTTGCTGCATTCATAGTTCCTTTAACATGGATTTTTAATTTTTGAATATAATTGGAAGCAGAGGAAGTCATGTACGTACCAAACAGACACTGATGCTCTTGGTGAAGCACTCCACGTTAAACATATAAAGAGGTGAGCTAATGTATTTGCCAAGATAATAAATAAATGTCTTCACTTATTAAATAGAATGCTTCTATTAAAAGCATCGAATACAGCTGTGTAATTTTCACTGGTTTCTGCAACTGTTTACTAAAAAAATACTACTCAGGAAGTAGTAATGTCTACGTTTTACTAAAGTAGTTGGTTTAGTAACTTAACTGGCTATAGTTGAACTGCTCAGTAGTGCTTAAGCTCAGGAACCAAAGCTTGAGAAACCAGGTTCAGTCCTAGTTGTGTAGGTTTCTATAGTAAGGCTGCTGTTAAATACAATGAAGAATGAGAAAAGCCACAAATGTTTAAGAACACTCTTTAAAATGCTTGTTTTATTAAAAAAAAAAAAAAAAAGCCCTCAATAGGTGTGTGTTAAAGAACAATCATTTGTAATGTAACCTCAGACTTCACCAAGTAGCAGTGTCCACAGGATTACTCAGATGGTAGAAATTTCTAACCAACAGTGTGGTCTATACAGACAGTAGCTTGAGAGATGATGCCAGACACTTCATTGACCACTTCATGATGATGGTGTGATAATACCGGAGACATTAACAATCTCAGGCTAAAGCTCTGCTTAAGTTATTCATAGCTGTCCCAAATGCTTCATCTAAAGGTGTTCTGAAGGGGTTGTACAGTACTTCAGGTCTGCACGGTGCGGTGTCTTGCTGCTAACTCCGTAATGCTGTTTGTACTATGGCAACGTGAAATACTTGATATTCTTAAAAGTCTAGGAAGGTTCATCAGCCAAGTCACGCTGATCGAAGTACCTAGTGGAGAAAAGTGGAATACAGTAAGAAACCTCTAATGCAACATACTCTTTTGACCCCTGGCTTTCTAGCTCTTCTTTTAGTGTTTCTGTAACATTTATAGCTTTGTAGTTCAGGGGGCTCATCTGAGAAAACCAGTAAGTTTACTTTATGCTTAGGTTTATCTTAAGTCCTTTTAGCTAAGTATATTTGCTGCATAGGCCCAGAGTACTTCAATTGACTTCCACTTCAAAAGAAGCTAGATTAGGACAAGAGTAACTGCACATTTATGCTGGGCATACTTTACTGTTTCAGATATGTAAGTTACATTACCTGCTAACTAAGCAGATTATCAAGTTCAGAGCTGATATCTGTTCTTCATTCTTGTTCTCCTGAAAGAAATAACTATTACAACAGTTCTCTTGTTATCTGTGTCCAATAGAAAAGCTGTTACATGTCACACTACATGCTTGTGCTCTTCCCTTCATTCTCAAGCAAGGACATGAAAAATTACTTACTGAGACTTCAAGAACTGAAAAGTCATCCTCTTGATAATTTGCTAAGTTCAGCAAGTCCTTTGCACAATGTTACATTAAATCTCACCTCCAGTACTCTGACTTCTGAGCATCGTCTTGCCAGCTGTCGAATAAGGGAGTGAGCTTCAGGTAGCAAAGGTTTTTCAAGGCATGCCAACAGTGCATAAAGCCACCTACCCTGCATGGATTCATATAACAAAGTTTTAATTATAAGCATTTCCTTAAAGTTTTGTGCAGTTCTTGTTATATGGAGCAGGCCTGGAGTGTAGGTCTCAAAATAAAATTGCATTTAAGTGCTATTGCTGGAACTGAAAAGTTTGAAAGCCAAATTGGACACTACACAGTAGAATTTTCTGCCTCTAGGTAAGCTTCTTGTGAGCAGTACTCTTGGATTTACTGATTACTCTTTTTTTTTTTGAATATTGGCCAAGATATAAATTCATACAGTTTACTAACGCCTGAGGGAAGGATTATTTTAATAATATCTAAAAATTAATACTTAGCTATTAATTTTTAACTTCACAAACTGTGGAAAAACATTCCTGAGGAGTGAATGTATAAAGTCAGATCTTTGTGGAATTAATGCTGTTAGATCAGCTTTAAGATTTGCACCACTATGAAAACACATTCTTTGCGTTTTACTTCACTGAATTCTACTGCATTCCTACAAACATAACTTCTGCTACCAATCTAACTTCGTAATTTCATTCCAGTGTCTACTGGCTTTCATTATGGGAACAAACTAAAAGTCAGTG